ACTTTCCAGCGGTGTTCTCCGAAAGAGAAGATTACGTGCATAACCGAGTCCGGAGGTCAAGCGCGGCGAGTGCGCAGGCGGGTGCGAATGCGACGAAGGAAAAAAGGGGCCCGGGTGCACTCCTAACTCGGACTTCGGCCCTCATCAAAGGTGAAAACCGACTCCGCCTCCAACGGCTCACATAAGTTCGACCAACCAACCCGTAGACCTAAAACGAGTTCGCTATGCGACAGAGTATTGACATCCTGATTGCATCCCTCATCCCACCGGGATTGGAAGATCATCGAGAAGGGCACGGCATTCCTTTCAACGGACAGTGTCTAACTAAATACAGCCATCTTTCCGAAGCGCCTATTCTTCGGGTTGATATCGAAGTCCATGATCCATCTGATGGCTTCAAAAGCTCTTGAGCAACCGCCTCCACCAAGTTAGTCTATCCAAATCATGTTCTCCAGTCTCAATTTCCCGTGACTCATCCAGATCCCGTCGGCGACCGGACATCAGATCAATCTCGCCCACCCTCCAGAAATGCGTCTTAAACCAGAACTTGTATCCGAACCAAATGATGGGAAACAAGGGTAACAAGATGTAAGCATCGACGAATGATCCGGCATCGAATGGAGCAAGGGTGGTCCAACCCTGCACAACAGCCAGGAAGATGTTTGCCGCCAAACCGAAGTAGGCATTCCACGGATACCACAGCGAAATAAATGGCAGTGAACTCTCCGCATGGCCCTGAGCCTTCCATGCTTGTCTGAATCGGATGTGGATGAAAGAGATGGATCCCCAGACGAGGAATGTCGAGACACCGCTGAGATTGACGATATAAGAGTACGCCTTGCTGGCGCCTGTGCTGATGTTCATCATTGACAGCGCGCCGCACAGGTTGGTGAAAACGATAGCCGGAATGGGGACACCACGGCTATCAGTCCTACCCAAGATCTTGGGCGCCTTCTTATCCTGTCCCATGTACAGAAGGGTGCGGGATCCGATATAGATGGACGAGTTGCACGCTGATAAGCATGTAACAAAGATGAAGGCGTTGATCAAGTGCACGCCCCCTTCCCAGCCGGCGTTCTGGATAGCCACCGTCATGGGACTCTTTACGGCACGGGAGCCCCCGTTGACGAGCTCGTCGGCATTGGCCGGGCATGTAAGGCCGAAGAAGAAGGCAGAGCCCATGTAGATGAAGATGATGCGCCAGAACACCTGGCGAATGGCGAGTGGCACGGCGACCCGAGGATTCTTGGTTTCGGTGGCGGCGACGGCGACAGACTCGACACCGGCGTAGAATGTTGAGCAGAAGACAAAGACTTTGGCGGTACCTCGGAAGCCGTCGGTAAATGCGCCGGGGTCACGCCAATATTTAAAGCCCAGGGCTTCTTGTCCAGGGATTCCGCCAGCAGCGTACCTGGCTTCCAAATTAGCTTGTGTTGATCCGAATCGATATCATGGATTGTGACTTACACAATGGAGAAGAGAAAGTATGCGACCAAGCCAATCAGCTTCAGCAAAGCCAACCAGAATTCTGCCTCTCCAAAAGCCTCGACTCCGAGCAGTTGGAAGCCAAGAAAGAGTGTCTGAGTGCATATCAGCGGCGTTGGTCTCCAAAATGTTCATAGAAAAGCATACCCAGAAGATCAGGAAGTAACCCCACAGCGGCACTTTGTCGCTCCAAAAGACGAAAATGCTCGATAACACGTTGTACTCATTGGCCAAGACACACATCCAGATGATGTAGTAATTCCAACCCAGCGCAACACCAAAAGCCTTGTCGACAAACCGATCCGCCAACCCGGTGAACGCGCCACCGCTGGGATACAACGTCGTCAACTCGCCCAAGCTCTGCATAATGCTGAACGCAATGATACCAATGACGCCGAACCCGATGAGCAGGGCGGCGGGTCCGCCGTTGGAGAGCGCGCCTCCCGCGCCGATCAGGAGACCCGGCCCGATGATGCCCGCCAGAGCCATCATGCTGAGGTGCCGGGTCTTGAGGCCTCGCTTGACGCCGCTGTGCGGGTCAATGGCTGCGAAGTCGGCGTCCGCTGAAGTTGAATCATCTGCATAGCCTGCGCGGCCGACGCGCGCGTCTTCGATAACAGGAACGTCATCGCCGTCCTTGTCGTAAGCTCGGTATCGTGACATTGTGGCGCCGGGCTTTCTAGAAGTGTGCAATGTGAACGCGAGGGGCGGGAGGATTTGATAAGTCAATGATCCTGCCAAGATGAGACGGTATCAGTGGTCCAGTACGGTCCCAGTCGCTTATCAGTCACCCCTCTCCCGTCTGGAGAGTTGGAGATTCGCAAGTTGAGTGTCCAATGTTGTTTGAGGTTGGGAGAGATATTTCAAATTCATTAAGGAATTCGACCCGGCCCTTTGGATCGGGATTTCGAATGCATTACCGCGAAGTAATGGCCGGGCCACTGCAGTTGAGAAAATCTCGTCATATCAAAACGTGTGCAGAGTGACACCGTGGTGATGGCGGATTTGCGCCGCGGGATCGCGTCATCGCCTGTCCTTGTCTCAAAGTCTCTCTCATTGGGCCATCGAGGGGCTTCAATGGTTCGAGACCCGCTTACATGCCGTTTAGTGCGGGGGGCATCCCGACCTCTTTCACGATCTCTTCCCGTTTAGGAGATTCTATTAGACGTTGGTATTCAGTCACAATGGTGGCTGGTGACTCGTGCAAAAAGGCTAATAGATGTTGTTATAGACTTGGAATTGGTGTCAATTGAGGCATGGTCTTTGAGGGTTATTGCAGTAATGTCGCAAGGATTATCGTCCTCGAGACGATGGTCTCAACTCGAGCTCGTTGAGTACAATAACACAGCCTTCTTCGACACCATGCACAGATAAAATGAGAAATGGTGAATCGGCACAAGGAAAATAATGCAGTGTGAGCTTGTCCACCATCCGAGCATGCCTCGTCGTCCCTCACACAACCAGGTCGAAATAGAATTCAACTCACGCTAGAAGAAGGCAGCCTCATTAGCATTTGTGAACAATTATTAATGGGTCATCTACTTACCACTCGCCATCTGCAAAACAAATTGAGCAGCAGCGTCCGCATCTTCAGCATACGTTAAATGGTCGACAGTTATGAAGCCTCCACTGCAAACAGCATCATTCTCGTGGCAGATGATTTTAGTCTTGCCCTCAGCGCCCGTAATGGCGTTCGGGTTGCCAGGATCCCCAAAGGTCAGAACAGAGTTGATCTTGGCCATGGTAGCCGCCGGAAGAGTGTTTGCAGTGCTACGAACAACCAGAGCACCCTGAGAGTAGCCTGACATTACAATTTTGGTATTCGGGCACTTTGTAGCAGCTTCATTGATGAAGTTCGTCCTAAGCAGCCTAGAGTAAGCTTTCGCCTCTTGCTATCCTTGATCCATCTTCGACCCAGGAAAGATGTCTTTTGAGAAACTTACATGCTTGGGACACCCTCGGTGCCATTTTTGTTGAACCCAGCAAAGGTCGCAGGGTACTCGACACCCTGAATCGAAACGGTTTTGGTCCCACGCTGTTGGTTGAGAGCATCGAAAAATGGCGGCCCTGTAACAAGACCAACATTGCCGGGCTCAGTGGTGCCTCGGGCAAATATGACGGTGATGTCGGCGCACGCTGCATTATCCTCCAAGTCATCCTCCGTCGTGTCGATGCCGACAGAATCCGCGAGGCCCTGTTGAAGAGGGGTCAAGACCAGTCCGACTGCGTCGAGAGCTGCCGCACCCGCTGGTAGAGTGCTAATGATTCTGAGGAATTGATTCAGTGGACCAGAAGGGAATTTGGCCAGGACGTCGGGAATATCTTGTCTTTCCTCAAGATCTGAAAAGCCTAGCGCCATTCGTTTCAAGTCGGTCATCAGCTCATCGGTCTCCGATGCAGGAAGGCCATGAACTAAGGACGCAGTCTGCATGCCAAGGAAGGCGAGGACAAATGCCATTCGGCAGGCTGGAAGTGAGGGCAGCATCTTGAGGATGATTTCTCTCGGTGAAATGTTCAGGTGAACGAATGACTTGACTATAAGATACCAGATGAGATGCAGACCCTGATCTCAAAGAAAGACAGGTCGAAGGTCCAGAATATATGTTCACGGAGAGTTTACGGGCTTCTCATGGCTTCAAGGTATGGGTCGAGTTGGCAGCCCAGGGCAGCGAATGTGATTGGCTCATCGAGAGCTGAAGTTGTCGTCTACCATCACCTAGCACGTCTGTTTGCACGCTTCAGGAAGGCTTTTGCACCTTAGACTAGGGCATATACCTAATAATTGAGTCTCTATAGGGCTTTGAAGTAGGATCACCCCGCATCGATTGCCAAATGAGTTCAGGGGCAGCGTTCAATCCGGGCGCAATGTACAGCCGTTACTAGTTTTGAAAGCATGATATGTCGTATTTCAGTAATTCCTCTAGAGTTAATGCCAGAGACTAGATGAACCATTGGCGGGTTCTGACGTATGCGGTCGGATGATGCATGTCAAAAAAGCTGGAGAAGAACACCAACGTCGGTCTTTGAAACACATGGGACGACATCGAAGAGCGTCTCAAGCCGAGGCTTGCAAAGCTCCAGCCTCGAGAACAGGCACAATAGGTAACTGCCGAAGAAATGCAAGGCCACCAACTCCAGCAGTCGGGGGGTGAGGTAGCATCGAGGCCTGCACTAGTCGGGCTAGCCATGATTTTGCAGGCGCCTCATTGCAACCATCTGAACTACTCCACATTGGCAGCTGTCTGTGCCCCGTGACAGATGACGAGAAGGCCTGAATTGAAGGAGAGTAGAAAAGATCTAGCGCTTCTCAACAATGGTTGGTTGGTCTTCTGAGAAAGAAAAAATAACTTCCAATACCTCGCAGAAATGAATATGCTCAAGGTCTTGTTTTCTACCCTGCAACCTCTCGATAGCAGTAAAACAGACAGAAGTCAATTGTTCAGTGAAGAAGTTGATACTAAGATTCTACAGTCTATGGAATTACAAACGCCAGCAGATCAAAGGAAAGGGTAGTTGTAAAAATCTAACAGGTGGAAACTCTCCCCATCTCTTCGCCTCGTCAGATACATGCCTTCAGTTCCCCTCACTGGGCCTTCGCTTTTGACTCATCGATTCCGAGGCGGCCGAGAACAGCGCGAACGCTCTCCCCGTGGTACGAGTACATCCACTTGCAGCCCATGTGAGGACCGACCATCTTGATGTAAGCCCAGATGGTCATCTCCTTGATCCACTGGTGAATGAAGGAGGTGGACGTCTTGCGCAGGTCGCCGTTCTGGGTGGTGAAGTCCACAATCTTGGACACGCGGTCCTTTCGGTGGTCCTCCCAGGCTTGGATGACCTGCGGGCGGGCGTTGTCTTTGAAGAGCGGCGCCTTGATGTGAGCGAGGGTGTATGCGAGGGTTTCCGCGTCCTCAAAGGAAGTCGCACCACCTTGTCCGCCCTGTAGGGGAGTCGTCAGCGTGTCTTACATTTTTCCGGAAGTTTGTATTCACTTACAGTTGGGGGCATGCCGTGGGTTGCGTCTCCAATGAGGAGAACACGGCGGCTCGGGGAAGACCAGGATTCCTTGGCAGAAAGCAAGTAGAAACTGGAGAACTTTTCGTCAGTCATCCGTAATTATACAGCTGCAGAAGGTTGATCACTCACGGCCAGAGAGTCAACGACTCAGTCGGGGTCCGGTGGCACAGGGCGCGCACGACCTCGGGCCAGCTCGAATCAATAGGGAACCTCTCTTTAATCATCTTCGCCAAAGTCTCCTTGTCGGCGTCCAGCGCCGCCCACTCCTCACGCGGCCGCTCCTCAACCTCAAAGGTCGCAAAGTAGCTAACCTCGTCGCCGTCCGCCGACGCTGGCATGACGGCGAAGGAGCCATTGCCGCCGAAAAGCATACAGGGGTAGTGCATATCCGTGTCGACGTCGGGCAAGTCGCTGAGCTTGAAGGTGCCAGAGATACCAGCAAGGCCCTGGAATACGGGCTTGCTGCCGTTGGGGCGCACAAACGACCGCACGCGCGAGTGGATTCCATCGGCGCCGATGATGAACTCGGCCGTCACGGTCTCACCGTCCTCGAACTCCACGGTCGCCGAAGTATCTGTCTCCTCGCGAACGCCGGCGCACTTCTTCCCGTAGTGGATCGGCACCCCGAGGAGCTCGAGCTGGCGGATCAGCTCGCCGCGGAGGACGGTGCGGCGGATGCGTAGGGCCGGGTAGTTGTACTCTTCATAGCTGCCGTTGAGGACCTTGGCCAAGAGGCCGCCACGACCGTTGAGGAAGGCGACGGACTCGAAGGCGAAGCCTTGGGGGCGGAGGGTGTCGTAGACGCCAATGTGGTCGAGGACGCGGAGGGCGTTGGGTGAGAGGGCAATGTTGCCGCCTGAGACGAAGTCCTTGGGCCTGGCTTCGTAGACTGCGGAGGAGATGCCACTCTTGTGAAGGTAAAGGGCGAGGGTGAGTCCCTGGGAGAGTGGTTAGTCAAGAAACGAATAGGTATCAGATATCAAGGTCGTTAATACGGAGAGACCGCCACCAATGATAGCGACTTGAGCCATTGTGGAAGTTGAGGCTAAAGTATTTGATTAAGTAAGGAAATGGGTATCGTATATAGCGGTCCTGGTGAAAAGTCGGTCTCAAATATCGATCGCTGCGTATCCTGGATGTATCAAGAGATGTTTTGGTGCTGTCAATGTGTTCTGTGATGGACCTGAGCTCTAACTAAACTCATCTCACCCTCCAAGTCGCTTAATCTTATACAAGACCCGCGTGTTCCGTGAAATTGCACCTATCCGCTGCGATGCGGGATCGAGCCAAGCAACGTACGATCGCTTGTCCGATACGGTTGCAGCCATCTCCGTCGTCCGCGGCGGTTTTCTGTAGCTGGGGGCTAGCGGAGCCGTCAGTCGGATCGGTCTCCGGTGAGGACGGAGGATGATGGGCGGACTTGGTGTGGCGTCTCAGTGAGACGATGCTTTGTACAACTGCTGCTACTGCTGCCTGTCGTAAGCACAATTCCTGCATGTCTTTGGTGTGTATATTGGCCGTTAACTTCAGTGTGTATCCTTCGCTGCCAGCTATGTCTCGGGAATAACCCTTGTGATGGCAAATGGAGCAAAGAAGAAACGTCAGTCGAGGGGTGTGGTTGAGCACTGCGTTCATCGCTCGAGCTGACTCCAGTCCCTCTACTGGCTGGATAGATCCCAGCGCACCTAGACTTATTCCATTCTACTAGCATATTCAGAGTAACGAATAAACAGCCTTCCTTCTCATTGTTTGTTAAATTGAAAGCAGAATCACGCGTTTTTGGCGCCATCCCTGCATCCTTCGCCTGAGTTGTGCTCCGTATCCGCGCGCGTTAAGGTAAGCGCCGTCCCGTCAAGAAGCGGACGCTACACTGCACAGCCACACCCCGCGCACCAAAATGATTTGGCCTTTGATAGAGTGCCAGTTCCATACCGCACTTGAATAAGACCAAGGCCATCACAGACGACATGAAAATTTTGAGATCCTGATTTCGACTGTTTCTTTGATGATTGATGTTATTCTCGCCACGGCTCACTTTTGGAGCCACCTCAACCCTAGTAACCTACTCGTACCTGGTTAAGAGAATTGCATACAATTGATCTTGAAGAAAATTTTATTTTCGCGTAAACACCTACAATAATTTTGTCACTTTTTCGTTCTTCCGTTGAGATTCGTGTAGTTCCTCTAGTTCGTTGAACAACAAAAGAATGCATGATCCTATGCGCCGAGATCGATGGTGTCAATCTGGAGATCGTAAATTGACATCGGCTTTATGGTGCAAGTTCTTTTGGCAGAATTTACAGATACATAGTGCGAATTGCGATGTCCCAAATGTGGTAACAATAGCATCAACTGGTTGATATGCCTCATGCCTGTGTTCATGAATAATGATTCATGAATAATACTTGCGTCGTGCATAAGGACAACTACAGGGTCATTGAGAAGGATGTATCTGATAACCGAAGACTTCGATCTCATCGAACACGATTTGAGCAACGGACAAGCAGTTGAGACAAGCGTTCCTGGTAATGGCATCTTCTGCGGAGTAGCTGCTGGAATTATCATCGTAGTGTGTCCCACTCGTGCACCAGTAAGCACCTTCGGGATGGCTCGGCAACGGTCGAAATTTGGGGAATCATGAGTGGATTGTCTGGAGATAGATGTTATGAAGTATATACGAGGAAACAAGCTGCTTGGCTTTTGTGGCCTCTAGTGTTCCAGAAAGCCCTCTGCTAGCGCAACATGGCTTGATCATGGTTTCAAGGTCGGTGTGAATAGCTACGCAGTCGGTCACCGGTGTGGATTGATTCACAAGACTTGGCGAAGGATGCAATTGCCGATTGCCCAGCCTTTGCTGGACCTTTGGTCTTTGCATCTTGTCAAACATTGAGTAATCTGCACTTCGCTGTAGCGTAGACCTGACAGACCCCACTTTGCCAATTGCGGAACTATCGCCGCACTTAGATGTCGAGCTTGCGAATATCCCAACGGAGAGTCTCCGTCCTTGCGCGTTGGCTTACGTGCATTGCATCAAATATTTTCAAGGGTCCTTGGAGAAATGAGCCCACCCGCAAGGCAGCAGTTGTAACTCGCCGGCTCCCGCAACCAACGAACTAAGAGCTCCATAATAGCTCCATTAAATGTCCGATAATGATTTGCCTATGAAAGATATGTGATTCTGGTCTGGACCGAAGGATTCGCACTCCACGAGGCGCTGCCCATCGGGCGTAAAGAGATGCTTCGAGACAATAACGCCGATCTTCTTCGCAAGTTGCAACAGTAAGCGCGGCGATGAAACCCAAAGATGGTAACAGTGACAGTCGACACATCACTAGCTTACTCACGAGGCAACTGATAACGTACAAGTTCCACAAAAAGGAGAACCCTTAGAGTTTAGACATCTTTATTTCTTGTTACATCGTTTGAACGCATATGCAGGGGGGGTTATCATAAGTTTAAAAAAAGAGATCATGCCTTTGTGATGAACATGGACTGCACGTTGCAGTACGCCTTCAGACCGCCAGCGCCGTACTCGTATCCGATACCGCTCTGCTTGTGACCGCCAAATGGCGCATCGTACTGCAGCTCCAAGTGGGTGTTGATCCAGACGTTGCCGGCCTTAAGCTTTTTGGCGACGCTCTGTGCCTTCTCGACGTCCTTCGACCAGACCGAAGCGCCGAGACCCATGAGGGTGTCATTGGCGCGGTGAATAACCTCCTTCTCGTCGCTCCACTTGAGGACGGGGAAGACGGGACCTGGGATACCCCCATGTTAGCCTCGGTGGAGAACAATGTTTTTTTTTTTTTTTCATTTGCAGAAGGGAGGGGCGGCACGATTGAGGGGCAATGACGGGTTGGGCGATTGAGTTCGCCCGTGCATGATTTTCACTTTGGGTAGCGGGAGAACATGAACTCACCGAAAGGTTCCTCGACGACAATCCTCGAGTTATCGGGCGGGTTGTCAACCATTGTGGGAGTGATGAAGTAGCCCTTGCCGTTGGAAGCGGGCGCGGTGGATCCCGCGGCCACCTTGAGCTTGGTCTCCTCAATGTCCTTGAGGAGCTCCTTGACGCGCTCAAACTGCATCTGGTTTTGAACGGGGCCGAGCATTGTGCCCTCCTGCTGTCCGTCACCGACGGGTAGGTTCTTGATGGCGGTGGCAATCTCGGCGACAAGCTCGTCGTAGATGGCCTCGTGGATATAGATGCGCTTGATGGCGATACAGACCTATAGTAATTGTGTGGTGTCAGCGGCTGTATGACTTTGGCTCTTTTGATGGGACTTTTGTCAACCAGCTCCTACGTACCTGTCCAGAGTTGTACAGAGCCAGCATGGCAATCTGTGATACGTCAGCATGAATTCTCTACATCTCGTCGCAGACATTGACGTACCTTGGGCGCGACAGCCTTGACATCGACATCAGGAAGGACGATAGCAGCATCGTTTCCACCACTGTGATTTCACGAGTCAGCGACTATCTCCACACTACCATCCGGGGAGAGGCGGGACGCAAAAAAATCATCCCAAATCGTCCACTTACAGCTCCAGAGTGACTCGCTTCAGGGTCTTGCTGCAGCTCTCCATCACTCGCTTGCCGGTTGCCGTTGAACCAGTGAAGCTGACCTTGTCCACACCAGGGTGGGAGGTCAACCAGGGTCCGAGGTTATCATCACCGCTGAGGGCCTGGAAGATGCCGGGCGGGAAGAATTGCTGCGCCAGTTCGACGAGCTTGAGGTCACAGTAGGGTGTGAAAGGACTATTGTGACTCAGTGTTAGTGCCTAGCATGTGTGTGTAAGATGATAACGGGAACGGATCCGGAGCTTACGATGGCTTCAGGATGAAGGCATTGCCGGTGACGAGGGCAGGGGCAATCTTGCCACAAGCTATTGAGTCGTGTTAGTTGGAAACTTGCGCCGGGCGCATCACATTGGAGGAGGCATACCGAGGAGGATGGGGACTGGGCGTAATAAATTAGCGGATTGATCGACTAAGACTACGGGAGTGGTACGACTTACAGTTCCAGGGAACGATGCCGACGGCGACGCCCAAGGGGACGTATCTCGTGAGAACGCGGCGATCGGGGTTGTTGTCGACAACCTCTTCGGGGAAAGGAAGGTTGGTCATTCCCTTGAAGTGCTTGACGGCCTCGCCGATCTCGAACTGTGCGAAAGGAAGCTGTGCGACGCATGAGATGTCAACACGACTCGTTCCAAGATCACCACTATCCCACGCCAATGACTTACAGGCTTGCCCTGCTCCTTGGTGAGCATCAGCGCAAACTCATCAGCGTGCGCCTCGAGAGCTTCACCGAGCTTGAAGAGGGCCTGTTGGCGCTCCTCGTACGGTGTCTCGGACCAGGCATCTTGAGCCTTCTTGGCAGCCTGCACGGCTCTGTCGACGTCTTCGGGTGTTGAGAGAGGAACCTCGGGGTTGGCCTCGAGGGTAGATGGGTTCGGGCTGTTCCTCGTCTTGCTCGTCGACTCGAGCTTACCGTCGATAATGTTGTAGAACTTGGTCCAGTCCAGCTTGGACGTGCCGTTCGTGGCCATGATGGGCGACAGTGTGGAATGAGATTGTAGAAGACTGGATGAGATTTGGGGCCCTGGTCTGGGTGCGGGAAGTTACGCTGCGGTCTGGTCCGTGGTATGTGATGGGAAGAGAAAAAAGTATCAGGGTCTGATTTTGGAAACTTGACTGGCACAGATGATCGGGTGAAAAGGAAACGCAGGGCGAGAAGAAGTAGAGGGAGGGGGGGCACTGGATATGGAACATGCGAAAGCGACTACTTTTTGCCTTCTCGACCTGTTTCTTCCTCCCCCTTCTCCTGATTCTCTCTTCCGGGGGCAAGGAGGGGTCGCTTGGGTTGCTCACAATCGCATTATGAGGAACAACGAACCAGTGGAGGGGCACGAGGAGGGGGACGTGGAGAGAGAACCGGGGCACGTTACCGGGATGCCATGTCCTAGACCGAGGGTCGTCGTCTTGAACTCCGTTTTCGATGTCACGATGGCCGTTGTCGATTGACATGGACTACTCGCAGAATTGGAGCGTGGTAAGCGTGGCCCCGCGGGCAAACCGGGGTTGTATGGGGATAGTCCAGAGCTATTTCAAATTTGGGGTAGCTCACCCGGCCAAGGCTCCCACTATGGGTAGCTTTGCCTCCCTCTGCGTGGCTCTCACAGAATTACTCCTCAGTTTTCCCTGTCTCTGTATCCGTTTTGGAGCAAGAGTAGGATGTTGAAGTGGACGGCAACTGGTTCTGTTCCATTGTGTGTCTCGGTCAGGTTCTCAACTGCCACCCAAACCCGCAACCCGCCGCCCCGCGCCGCACCATTACAATCGACAACTCAGCCAAGCCAAGCCGCGACGGGGCAAGTGTTGAAACGCGGATGAGTTGATCGGCTTAATGGGCACTGGTACGTACCGTTATGTAGGGTTATGTAAGCCATTTTAGTGTACATATGAAGAGCATTAAGGCATGCGTAGTGTTTACGCATTGCCGTCTTCCGCAGTATGTTTACCGTCGCTGTCAATGCTGACACAGACTCTCTTGCTTCTCGTGCTGCGGGTTGCCCGCAGTAGTCTCTCTAAAGTGACGAAAGGGGGGAAGAAAGTTGGAGACGCAAGACAAGAGACGACTTTGAACTCGGCAACGTGCCGCTTTCAACCCCTCCTTTTGCGTTTTGCACCTGGACCCCGAACCGCACCTATTTCCCCGTAGGTAGGCAGAAGTTTGACCTGTGCTTGAACCG